CAGCACATGCACTAGAGATGATGGACTCTCTGAACACAACACAGACACATCAATCTGTCAGTCAATCAATCAATCAACCAATCAATCATTCAATCAATCGATCGACCGACCGACCGATCAATCAATCAATCAATCTCCAGCTTCAATATTTGACCACTGTTTATGATAAAACGAGGTTGCAGTGACATTTAATAAAAAAAAAAATTTTTGAATAGAATATCGTCAGGCATATGAATTCTCTCATGTCTGCTCCGGTTATTTGTGTTCACATATAGCTTCACTGATCAGCGTCCGTTAGGGCTTTTAGTCCAAAGGTGCACATATTTGGAGAAAAATGTATTTATCCTCACATGTTTACAAAATATTTCGTCATACAGAGTACCATTTTTATTAATTTCCCACTGAATTATGAGATCTGAAGAGCTGAAAGAGCGTTCGATTGTTCGATTAAAATAAATTATTGTTATAAGCTAATACAAAATAGTAAAACTGTAAACTATAAAAATAACACTGATTTGTAGATAACAACAGAATGCCATTTTTCCACACTACTCTCACTATTACTGGAGTGTGTAGTGTGTTTACTGTGTGTTACAGGAATAAAAAACCTTCATAGAGAATATAAGTGAGATCTTTGAGAACATGAGATTGTAATGAGTCTGATGAGAGAGTTACTGTACCTTCAACAATCACTTGGAGATATGCAAATGTTACTGTGCCGTCAGAGGCAAAGACTTGTAAACTGTAAATCCCTGAATCTGCTCTGATCACAGAGTTTATTATCAGAATCCCATTAATGACTGACACTTCATCATGTCTGTTATTAAAGAGATCACATTCATCCTTTTTTATCCTGTCATTTATTATTTTACAAAGTGGATCATCTGGTGTGTTGTTGTTTCTCTTTTGTATCTTCAGTTTATATTCTTTAGCGTTCGGTATCGTCATTAGACTGAGTTTGTCTCCGAGAGCAGCGTAACAGGGACCTTCCTGATTAAACCAGCAGAACCGCTCCACACCTGAAGAACAACACACACACACACACACACACACACTATCATAAATTAAAATGTTACACAAACAGTCATAGAATTTTAAAGGATCCTTGAGATCAATATTGTAACTTTGAGGAGTACACTAAGATACTCTAAGAACATTGAGAGAGAGAGAGAGAGAGAGAGAGAGAGAGAGAGAGAGAGAGAGAGAGAGAGAGAGAGAGAGAGAGAGAGAGAGAGAGAGAGAGAGAGAGAGAGAGAGAGAGAGAGAGACTCTAACTCTTCAACATATCTTTCTGATCTAAGCCCAACTTGGTCAGCTATTGATCTAGTCGCATGCCATTGATCTTCTGTAGAGTCAATTAAGTCCATTACAGTAGCTATTCCAGTCTTTAAAAACGTATCAACTACTGTACGTGAAATAGATGAGTTTGTTTTAAAAAGAGGATTAAAGAATAATGGTTCCAAAACACCATAATATTCGCTCTCTTTTCTAACCTTCTTTAACAATTGCCAAGCTTTGAACACAGACAGATACAATTTGAAAAGATAACAACTTACTTTCCAGACAAAAAAAAATTCAATTAAGAACAACTATTCCGATTCCTCCTATATTTTGTAGAATAGACAAGCTATATGCAATCCAGGGTGTCTTATCTGAACAGTATAGCTATTTCTGTAATGTTTGAAGTCTCATTGTTTTAATTCTTGCTTGTAAATGTATGAGTCCTTGTCCTCCAATCACTGGGAGATATAAAACTCCAGGAGGAAGCCAATGAAAAAAAATCCCCCAAAAATGTACTACTTTTTTTAATT